ATAAGAGCTACAACGTATATTCCAACTTGAAAGGGGCTGAAGCCTGGTCAAGCTCTGCCGCTACATCAGCTCCGTTCTGGATATGAACAGGCTGTATCTACACTCCTGACACCTCGTGACAAGTACACCGCCATGGCCATGCAGGTTCCTGAGCTCACAGGCTTCCAAATTCTCCAGTTCCACGTAGATTACACTGCAATCACAACACTGGGTATGGCACAGACTGGAACAAAAAGGTTGGGCTCGAAGCAAATAAAAACATACCAGTGAAAAGTTTTCCCTTTCCTCTTTTCACTGATGTTGTGTGATAAGGTGCATTTACAAAAAGTCTCGCTGAAGTTAAAAGGCTCAGTTTGACCAGTATTTCTTTAGTTAAAAGCCATTTCATCAGCAGCATCTCAGTTTTGTGTCCTGAGTGGCCCCTAGCCATTTCATAAAGAACTGGTGTAAAAGGGAAGCTGTTGTGGAACTTAAGCTGCATAACACAGCTACACTTTTACAAATTCAGAAACCATTTCATGTCTATGAGGTAAGATTCTTAAATGTCCTGTACTCCACCTAGACAGCCAGCCCTACCTCCTTCCAGCATTGGGAGGCATTCATCAGCATGCTAAAATCAAAATAAAAGCAGTGGGTCCAAGATCCTGCTTCTGCATTGCTTTTTCCTGACAAACCTAAGATCTGATGCTATGGTGATGGGTATTTCTAATTCCCCTTGGATGCTGTAATGTTTGTGTAAAAGAAGCTGACAGTATCCAAATGGAGATAGAAGAGGCTTCCAGGAACACAGACAACAGATTTTCCTGCTTGCCCACCCTCCCATCCCTAGCTCTGTGGCACACAAGTTTTTTCTCTGGGATATTTTAGGCACTGTAGCTGTCTATTTCATTTTGGAATATATGGAACCACAAAACACACTGTTAATTAGAAGGAAGGTGTTTGCTTATCCTTATGATTTTGTTTATGTAAAAGACTGCACAGCAATAGATTTGTGAGCAACCGTCTTTCCATTCATGTACCGTATGGTTTTAGAGAGAAATACAGGATTAAATTGGGAGGAGAGCTTAAATAATGCCTTTGCATTACAAATAAAGCTGACTGGCTGATTTACTTTTCAGTATCTCAGTTTAATAAGAAACAAAAGCAGTAGCCAATTTTTGTTTCAAAATGTAATACAACATAGCACTAAGAAAAAAAAAAGCCCACAGATTATATACAGAGAAGAGCTGCCCTTGCAGTGACAAGATGCTTATTTTAAACAAAAGACAACACCCTTTTAGGAAAAGTCACAGCTATCAGAGCAACAAAACTGCAGTCTGACAGTGCACCTTTCACACAAGGGTTTGGGGAGAGACTCTGGGCAAATATCAGGTGTATGCGTACTTGCCTGCTAACAGAAAGTGGTTATTTTAGCACACAGAGTTCAGAAATACCAGCTCAAGGTGCAGCGTTCACACTTCTTCCCATGCTGTCGTCTCTCCCTTCCCCTGCCTCCAAAATGACATTGCTTTCTGTCATCTCCTTCCCTCAGCAGCAAAAAAGAAATAACAACTGACAGTCTTCAAGTGCAGAGGAGGAGGAGAAAGGAGACTGACACCAAATATGCACTAGTAGGAGAAAGAGAAGGAACAGCTATGTCACAAAAACATCCCCAGGCAAGAGAAAGAAGCCAGAGACTGAGGTCAGTAAAACTTGTCCAGACAAGGCATGTTTCTTCCTAGAAGTGGCTGGACTAGATGATGTAGCCAATTTTTTTGCTCTTTTTTAATTTCTCTCCGCTTAGGAACTTACACAGCTCTGCTATCACCACACCAGCAGAGCACAGCACATGTCAGGTAATAGAAATAGTAACATATTTATGTGCTAAGTCTTATTAAGTCAG